AGTCTTTCGTGAACATACATAATACTCAGTATGCATTGAGGAGAATTCATTTGTCTCATCTCATTAAACTTTACTAGTTGGACTGGGAATTATTACTTGGCCAAGATGAAATTCTGATTCTGTAGAGCACTTTTAACATATACCTCCTACCGCTTTTAGGTCAAGGCGAAACACGAAAACAAGCGAAGGACACGGTAGTACTCTCAGATGTATTACATGGGTTTGCAGCACCCGCTGTGCTTGCGATGGAAACTTCAAAAATTCAGCTTTCTATTTCAAGAGTTTCACAACCCTAATCTTAAACACATTCAAAATTTAAAGAATCCTGCATAGAAATTACATATACCATTAAGGCGCTACAGCAAGGACTCTTCTATAAATCTATATGTACTTCTCAAATCTTCAAACGTTCTACTGAACGAGAAGTCATCGTCTGTCATCCATTGAAAAACAAGCAATGAGGTCCACAGGTTAAGAATCGACGACCACAGTAACTACATGACTGATTTCGTTCCCCTGATTGACTATACCAGTAGAACATTGCTTGACAACGAATCTACAGTGCGCATGAAGATGACAAATAGGATCCATCAGAATACAATAATGAAATCGCAAATAAAAAAGTCGGCTTTACACACCTAGTTGAAGTATTTTAATTGTAACGAATATATTGAGCACTGGATAGAAGTTACAGTAGAATTCGATGTAGGATCGGTTTGTATTCTCCAATTTATTAAATCTGTGGCTAACACATCTTTACGTGCCGGGAACTGAAGCTTACTTCCTTATTGATCCATTAAGTCATTTCTCCGAGTTATGTGGGAGCCATTACAGGACATCCTCGATTCTCTATGGAAAGTTGCTTCCCACTGTGGATCGGTAAAGGAATTCCCAAAGTGTAGCCAGATTTCTTTCATGAGCACGACGACAACTGGGATTGGTGTACTCTTCTATGGGCTTCAGAACGGAAATTTCAAACTTCCTCAGCATCGGTGAAACAGCCATTCTATAAAAACGGAGCACATGTCCTACACTGGAGGGCGATAGCTCTTTGTCACACTAAAGAACTGAACCACTAAACACCTGTTTACTCTTGCGGCTTAAGAAATCTACATTGACATTAGTTACCTTGACTCATTATAAGACAGCTATTATACATTTTTCAAACATCAAGTGGAGATTTATTATGTTCTTTTTTATATAATAGTAATAAACTAAGAGAGCGTATATAACAGTGGTAGTGAGGTCCATCCTCACGAGCATGGTGATAGTTTGATTCCATTCCAGACCAACCAAGCCTATCATCCCTCCAGAATCAGGCAATTGCTACCGGACTTGTCCGGAAAAAAAATCACTCTCTGCAATCCAACTGGAATGTTCCAGTCCGGTTATCTCAGGACTCCAGGGAAAATCGACTCGACCAGCATTCTGCGCATTCAAGATGAAATGAAAAACTCTTAATCAGCAGCCGAAGCCACATGAAAAAAGTTGGAAGATTTTCTATGCGAGGAAACGAATCGAATGAGAAGTGCTGGGATCTGATCCGCGTAGTAGACATGAGGACAGGTCATATAAAAATTAAAAAGAAACAAATAAGTACAGAAAAGTACGGAGAAATAAGAGGTAAAATCGGAGCAATCAATTAACGAAGACCATAGACAAGAAATTAGCTCTTTTTAATAAAGTGGCAAAGCATTACTATGCAAGTATTTGTGAAAGAACAAGTACCTACAACATAAACCGGGCCATTTTGGAGGCGTGGCAGAGGTATCATAGTGAAAATTACGTAAACTATGAAAAAATCAGTAAACTATTTGGTAGCAATAAATGAGAACAAACTCCCGCATACAATTTGCCTTGCAGATAATCGGCATGGGACCGGTGAGGATGCAGGAGGTGACTCTATCACGAGCGCTGGCTGAAGTTCGTACGCGATGGTCGCGCGATAGCACGCGATTCGAGGACAAGCCCGACGAAAAACCACACATTCAAATAAATTCCGGCGCGAAATCCCAAGTTCAAATTGGCGACGGGCCATCCGACAGCGCTTACCACATTCCCCGCTGCAAATAGACATCGGGGCCAGATTTGCCGAGCGTTCTCCACCCGAATTTGCTCGACATTTCAAACGAATCCTATCGAAAACACAAGAATTTCTACTTAGTTCCGCTCTACGCTGTCGTCCTCTTAAATGTAATAAGTAATTTTTGCACCTCTACTTCTATGAAAAGAGTATAAAGACCGCTACATCTCCCATACGGGAGCACTGGAGCTTCTGCAATGATAATAGAGATAAAAAAACGGATGAGATAAGGAATATCTACCAACCGATGTAGTCAAAGTCTAGGAAGCATGGAGAATTCCTCCGCTGCCAAAGTCAGTAGGCGTCGAACTTTTTAAGAGTGCAGCTACAATATCACAGATGTTATTTGAAAAAAAGCATAAGCACCATATAGGATGCTTAAGCAGCTGAATTACAGTTTGAGTTCGATAACGACGCGGCTTTGTTGTTGTAAGGGCATTGGATTATTTTCACTGGATTTCAAAGCTCCACAGCAGTACCTAGATTTATTCGTCGCCATACGAGCATCGGTCTCTTTCATGGAAAACTGTAGCAAGGCGTGACATTAGGAATGCAATTTGTATCTCAAGCAAAGTTCTATTGCCTATTACGGCTACGAATTTACTGACAAAAGCCTGGACATGTACAACCCACTGCTTTGTACGAACTGAGTCGTGTAAGGTGTCACCACTACACCCGTTCCTTTTATACATCACGAAGGTTAGCAGGAAGCTAATTTGGTATTACAACCTTTTTTTATAGTTTTCAAGACTATTTGAACGAGACATTACTTCACTCTACACTCCACTAATATGAGAGGCCATTTGAACGCAGCATGTAACAAAAAATTGGACAGTCTTCTCTCAGAATTTATGATTTTCCGGCTTGAGGTCACTGGTGTTGTCGAACTGCTCAATGCGAAGGGAAATTTTAAAAGCTCAGGAATGACGAAGATAAGGCGGCGTACGGTTCGTACCGGGTGCATAATGTGGAATCGTTTCCTGGCCGAGTATGTGCAGCTGCCCATGGGTGACGGAGAGGAGCTTTAGCCATGGAGCGGCGACACACACTGCAAGTCCTGAAATGGACTTCAGCACAACACAAGATTGATGCTGACGTCGACGATGAGTGGGCTGTTGCCAGAAAATCCCCGTTGTAGACAATCACTTGAATTCAAAGTTAACAATCGTTATTCTCCTTCAAATAAGTCCTTTTTTACTTTCTAGTCTTTCCTAAACCCTTGGAGAAGACCTGGGATATTCTGTAGAGTATGCGAAGAACTATTTGAAATAGTAAAAAGAATTCCTCTAGATCACAACAATAATTTCTCGACGTCTACATGTATCACTCACAGAACATTTGACCAATCAAAAGGCTGAAATTAGATTTCTGAATTTAAAAAAGATTGAAATGTTTGAAAGTGCGCGCCATGTTGTGCAGAACGAAAGTGACGTGTGAATGCAATCATAATCGGTGAGTTGGTGAGTTCTCGGAACAATCCGCAGAAGGCGAAAGCCTTCAACATCAGCACCATCATCATCGCCTGATCAGAACACAAGGATGACCTTGTCCAACTGAAGCGATCTCCCACTGATCAACACCAAATGAAAGAGAAAAACACACCTGCGTTCCTCAATTTTGCTTCCAGATTGAAACTGTCGTTTTCCTAAATGGATTATACGTATATTAAAATGACCACAGATGTAAGAAGGTAATAGATATTGACTAAAAACTCGTAACGTCATGAAAATTCAGCGGTAGAATCACACTGCTGCAAAGAATAAGAGATTAAGTGCTTATATAAAAAATAAAATACAGTAAAAAGAATCTTGACGAAAAGTTATGACAGAGTACGGAACTGCACGAGTGACTCTAATAAGAAATTACAAGTCAGAACTTGAAGAAAAAAGAAGAGTGCAGCATAACAATAAAATAACTGGCTTCCACTTTCTTAAAAGCTAAAAGCATAAAGCTCTCGGCGTTGACCAATCCTGAGGGATGCGCTATGCACTCGACTTCACCGGATGTGATTGAATGCATATCTGGCCTTTACAATGACTCACGGTGGCCTACCGATGTATCGAGTCAGTGCTGCTAACCCTCCAGAGAAGTTTGGTACCAATATGCCTAGCTCGAAGGGATAGAAGGCATGGTGAGCCACGAGAGCGTAGGTCGATCCCATGGGCGTATAGCGGGGTGCCTCTGACCACTGCGCCACACTCGTCCCTTTCACCTTCTTACTGCCGTATACATTGCTGTTCATTGTGAACTATCTAGTGTAATAACGAAGGTTCAAAACAATTAAAGCGCAGTAAAATGATGTTAAAGAAATGCTGCGTTTTCAACAGTGGTTCCATGATTTTCTTCGTATTTTTGTTGAGCAAACGCGAGGTGTTACTATTCTTTGTTCACGATTAAGGTTTTCGAAACCTCATAGAAAGCGGTGAGTGTGCAAAGCTGTGTTCAAAGTGATTGAAATCTTGGTTTGGAGTTTCTTTGTTTGGTTATGGAGGCGTCTGGCCGAGTGGATTGCTATCAACTTGACCTTTCCGAGCTCTGAAGAAGGCGAAATCCGCCGAAACGTCAGCTTAATCGTGAACAAAGAATAATAACACCTCGCGTTTGCTCAACAAAAATACGAAGAAAATCACTTGATCAATGCCGAGGTTAATAGAAAGTCGGTCGTGGCAGTGGTTCCATGATATTAAATATAGAACAGGAAGTTTTATAAAGTAATACTGTAATTCTTGTTTTGCACATGGTAACCAATTTGTCTACTTTTGACTTGGCCAAAAGAAATAAGTGGAATATCAGTTATGAAACGTCTACGAAACGCACGTTTTGGCAAGCGGTCAGCATTTCACAGCTGCCGGCCCGATTTGCAATGGAAAACGGTGGTTGCGCCAAATTCGATAAATTCACGAATTGATCATCCGGAATGACATTGACTGGTCCGATCGATCTGATCGATCTCCCCGACTGTTCCGATGTGTGCCGTGATGGACCGCTGTCGGCACTGATCTTCGACATGGAGCATGCTGGATCAGCCCGAGGTTTTGCCACCGGCGACGCCGTCACTGCTTCTGAAAGTTCACGTGCGGTCCTCCACAAATTCGTAGCTCAAAGCCATATTTCGCATCTTATAGCTCGAAAAATAATCACAATCCTAGATTTTAGTACAAATTTCGTTCCAAATTAGAAATTTTTCTTTCGGTTTTTAACGGCGAGAACCACTTGACCATACTGAAAAAAGCTGTGCAACAGTGGAGGCAAAACTGCTACAGCTGTCCAGACAGCAAACTCTAATTAATTTATTACAGAATAAAACTTTTTCCCAGCTTTTTACGAAACAAAATGTCTACATTCCTTTTCATCGTTTTATTATTTTTTTCTTTCGATTTTTCAACCGATCACTTAATATTTCCGAGCACAGTTCAATCCACCACAACGAGTTCTCGTCAAAAATCGTTTACTATTATCTGTGTGGGAACTGCACAACGTATTTTCCCTGAGTATTACAAATATAATAGATGATAGGATACAATAATAATAACGATACAGTCAAAAAAGGCATCTCAGTTAGCAGTTACCTTGACTTCTCCTCCTTCTTCGTTCTCTCGGCATGTTATCGTAGATGCTCTCGGTCATGGTGAGACTCGATCCACCTCGAGAACGACTCAAATCTTAAAGCATTAAACGTCTTGAGAAAGCTCCGTGATCAGCACACAAGTGTTGGCTAGGGATTAGTTAATACTTCATCTTGAAATACTCTGAAAACCGAACTATAAAGGCCATAATCTATAAAGATTCCGCTACGACTTCTTTCCTTTTGTTAAATTAAAATTTTACTGAATCATTTAATCCGTAAAATAAAAACATAGTAAAGGTAAAACTAGCTGAGAGAAACGCAGAGCAAGGGCCTCCGTAGCCCAGTGTGTAATGCGTGAACCTCTGGAAAGGAAAGTCGTGGTTCGATTTGGCCTGAGGTCCAAGTTTTGCGAATATCTCAGAATCGTTTTAGTAAAGATATTTCGTCAGACAACTAATTCTTTGTTATCAATGGTGAGTGATGGAGCGTAGAAAATATATCGAGGAAGGAGGAGAGCACCAGAGTGCTGTTTAGAATTTTTCACGTTGTACAATTACTTTTTCCATCATTTATAACTAAATATTACTCATAAAAAAAGTACTGGAGCAAACAATATTAAGACAGCTAGAATCAAAAATAGTAAACAATAGAGAATCGAAGGATTTTAACTCAGATGCGCAGTACCTGGAACAACTCGTCTTCACAAGTTGTGCAAAGCTCCAATCAACCAATTTTAGTCATCTAAAGTGATCCAGAAATATGAATTGGTGGAAAACGCCACTAGATACACGCAAAGTATAAGGGATTTTATTCTGTTCGAATCTAGAAGATACTCTTCCTAAAAGACGAAAATGTGGTACATCCTCATAAACGCTTAAGTAAGAGGTAATTTCATGCTGACTGAGTGACAATGGTGATCAATATCCATATTTCACATTACATTAGTTCCTCACTGAAGAGATGAGAAAGCCACATTCACTCAAAAACTTTGCATTTACAGCTACAAAGTGTAACTATGAAGGTACACTAATACATTTAATGCGTCTTGAGAAGGCTTAGAAACCAGTGAAAAATTTGATATACGAGGTGTAATAAGTAATTTGCTACAGAAGTCAAATGACTCTGTCGCTACGAGTGCAAAAAAGTGCAAGATGATTCCATTCAGAACTACATTAACTTTAACTGCAAAGTGATAGGGACTTGGAAGAAGTCCCCGTTGAGGATATTCAAGTCAACCAGAAATCTTGCTTTATAATTTATTGAAAAGTAAAAAAGATGTGTAAGGCGTCCTCAGAAGACTCACCAGACGGCAACGAATCCGAATCAGGTTTCTTTGTGGTCGACGACAGCGACGAAGTCAACGAATTCGAGTCATTCGACTGAAATTTATCCTTTCAGAGATTTGCTTAGGAGCGGGATGTGAAGCGACATCACCACTACTAAAGATATGGACTGTATTGGGCCAATATGAAACGAAGAAGAGGTGTTAAAAAATAAGATGTTCCTGAATATTTCCCTTTCCTTCTAATGAATCACGGCCAATTTGCTAGGTTGATACTGATTTTCTAGCCTATTTTAAAAGTTTTCAAATTTGTAAAATAATGGTATTCTAGCAGTTTTATACCACCATCTATGTACCTTATAAAGGCCTAGATTTGGAAGAACTAACATCTCGGTATTTGTTTGGATTCTAAACCGCTACCATTCGGTTAACTATCTGAATACGAATACACTTACAATGAGCCATGAGTCATATGTAATAACAAGCTTGAATCGTTTACATTTCTTGACAACTACTATGCAGTTCTCAACTGTACTAAGCCCTTGTTTGAATTTATGGAAAACGCGCGAACAGATTAGTTGGCCTGACACATTCGCAACTACATGCACCGATTTTAATACGTTTAATGTTAGGGCGATGGTTGCTATATAAAAATGTCACTCATAGCGCTTAGAAAAGAAAGCACAATTCAGAAATATCATCAGGTTCTTACCTAATCGACAAAGGTTTTGGAGGCGGGAATTTAATGATACCCGACTTAAGTATCAGTACCAACACAAGTTCACTGTTTTCTTGTAAGCTGTGCACTTATGTGGAATTTTTAGGACGTTTCTACAATAGCATTCGAAAGGAGCCTTCTGAGCTTATGACACATCACGGCGATGGAGAGGTGAACAACATTTTTAAGAGAGCCACAACCACCACAAAATTTCGATAGGAACATCGCACAATAGAGACAAACCAGCATGAAAGCGAAACCAGTAAGATGAGCTAAGGCCAGAAAAATTTCAAAACCTATAAATGACAAACGGCCTTTAAAATCACTAACAGCAAAACTGTACCACCGAAACCTTGCACGGGCTCACTTTAGCCGACAGTGGATCAATACGGTGGAAAGATAACGAATCACATGTGATAACATAAGAAAGGCACCTGCGTATTCACATATAGTTGCGAATCACCACAAAATTCTTACTGTCTAGCATAGAAAGATTAATTTTTACTCATTATTGTTCTTTGTTTAGTCTGTCTAGATATCGCCTTGTATGAAATTCTTACATTTAAAGAGTAATGAATAAAAATCCCCATAAAACTAAGTACAGAAAACTTAAGCGCAGTAAAAAAGTTTTGAAGCGACCACGGGTGAGAACGTATCGTAGACACACTGAATGACGCAGGCGTTCGCTAGGTGAAAGAAGATTCGGCAAGTGAATTCAAACTGAAATGGGGCATTTGAGCAGAAAGAAAACTTTCAGAAAGAGATAATACTACTGTAGATATTTCAAATTTTCAACTGTAGGCCTCAATTTCAAGCGAAGTGTTGCTGAACGAAATCGCTATGGCAGAGGAACAAACGTAGAACGTTCTAGCCTCTCGTTTAAATCAAATACGGCTTTAGACACCTTTTCAATGCTCACGAATGATTCATTGTCAACAAAGAAACGACCGCTCACATCCGTTCTTTAGCAGCATGACGTCATGCATTAATTTTCACATGCGACTTCTAGACGTTTTCTGTTTATGTTTCTGCTCGAATACCACTGCACATAGAACACTCGTTCTTTATTATTACATTTTTTATTTTATGTTTTATATTTCCTGTGTCATTAATTAGATCGGCACCGCTGGCTCGTTCTTAAGTATTACTGTAAAGCCCACAAAAGAATACCTATACGTTCTTATGCTCAGGCCGATAGTTAGAGCTGGAGTACTAAATTGGTGATGGAGAAGAGTACTGAGACAACGAACGATAACTGCAACAGCGCAGCCTTTCAAAAAAGTCTAAGTCGTTAAAGAACGAGCACTGCAGCTGACCCGATGATGGCGCCCAGATGACAGCTGCTATTATTTCCTGACAAATCGAATTCAATTATCAAATGAAACTTGGGAACCATGTGTCATCACAACGTTTGCTTCATCGCTAAGTAACAACATTACGCTGCCACATTTCAAAAGTGCTCAGGTGCAACGAAGAATTTTTGTCGCTTTAAAAACGCTGTGGAAATAACTTGTTAAACTGTTGTTTCCCTCCTAGATTTCTAAATAACTACACCTAGCATGTTGTTGAGATAGCTTCGACCCCGTGATTACCCTTTCCAGGGACTCACGTGTTACCCACTGCACCACTAAGGCCTTCGCTTTGCCTTTTCTCTCAAACACTTTTTTCCTAACGGACCCGTCAACGAGAATGATCTACGGAGAACAAATCGGCATTGAACCCAACCAAGTTGAGGCCTAAGTTTAAACTAAAAAGCTTAACCCTTACTTAGCGCGAATTACTTTTTAAATCGCAGTAAGTAATCACAGATTTGAAGTTCGCCTAAGCCTCGAGTTTTGCTCATATCTGAGTATTACTGTGGTTGTAGCTTCACAAAACATCCTGCCCTCAAAAAATAATACGCAGTAAACAAAATAGAAACAATGTAACCACACCTATGTTAACTTTCCATTTATTGCCTATTATTTCCTCATGGAGGGATACTATGTGTGATACAACCACAATGGTACTGAGATATTTGCAAAACTGCGGACTGCAGGTGTCTGCGGTGGGCAGCGAACGCGTTATTACCCTTTCTTGAGCTAACGGGTTCACCACCACACCATGAGAGCCCTTTGTTCCTCCTGTCTCTCAGCTAATTCTATCGATCAGAGTGCCATCAGTTGTTGCAACCATACTTAGTTGGGAAACTAAGGAAATTTCTTGCAAAAAAAATGATTGATAAAGCACTTATGAAAATCTTTAGAAATTCATGTAGAGCTTGTGCTTTTCTACCGATTTTAGTTCGGAATTGAACAATATGGAACACAGTGAGAAATGAATAGCACATTAAACATGAACATATTAAAGGTAAAAAGAAATCCGAAATTGATATAAATGATAAAGGATAAAGGATAAAGCTTTTGACGTTGATCAGTCCCTGAGGGATGCACAATGCATTCGACTTCATTAAGCACCTCTGGAAGTGACTGAATGCATATCTGGCCGTTACAATGACTCGTAATGGCCTACCTATGTATCGAGCCAGTGCTGTTATCCTCCCAGACAAGTCTGGTACCAACCTGTCGACCCCGGGGGAATGGAATGCTTGGTGAGTCTGGGCGCGGGGATCAATTCGATGTGTATTGCAAAGCGCTTCTAACCGCTGCGCTACACGTGTCCATAATCTAAGCGATGTGATAAAAAATACACAACTTTAAAATATTCACCATAATATTCCGGTTAAATACAACCATGACAGTGCTAGCTTTTAGAAAACTATCAATAATTTTTTGATAATTTAAGAGTTCACAAGCTTATAGAAAACGTTGTTCCCCAATTCTCTAAGAATTCTAAGAGTTATCCGATTCGCAATAAAGGTGGTTTCTGACAACTGTCGACAACTTCCAAAAAACATGAGAGTAGTTAAGAGCTTAGAACTTAACGATTAAAAGACTAAAAATGAAATTTAAAATTTCAAGATTTCCCATACAGACACAGTAGCGACAGAACCAGTGATTCATTGAGGAACATCAAAGTTTAGGAGTTCGAACTATAAGGCATAAAAGAACCGAAAAATTAGTTTTGTAGGCTCCAAAAAATCAAAAATTACAAAAAAACCATTTTGGTTGAATGCGAAACCTGACTGAGAGAGCTCTGCAAAATACGTTGGTAGGTAGAAAACCAGGTTAGAGAAAGGCGAAACGAAAGACCCACATGGTGTGATGGTTAACGCTTTAGCCCCCGGAAAGGGTAATTAATAGCGCATTCGTTCCCTACCACAGACACCTGCGATCCGGAGTTTTGCAAATGTCTCAGCATCATTGTATTTCTTTCACACATAATACCCTGCCGTGAAAAATTGCAACAGGTAGCAAATAAAAAGCTAACAATATGTTGGTTTTGTTTAAATTTATAAAGCTCACAACGAGTTGATGTGGCTATTTAACTTTCGAAAGCGGATAACACCTTTGCCACGGTGCATTGAGGTCAATACGTACTAGGACGAATTCGTGGAGAAAGCTAAATTTTAAATTCAATGAAATATCGCAGGACTTGCGAAAAGTTTAATGTAGCGCTGCAGTCGTTGATGTTAACAACACATTCAGACGGACATTATCGTGGCTCCCGCTGCTTCATCCACCACATTCTTCGGAATACGAGTTGCAACGAAAAGAAAGGTAAAAGTAAAGACGTATCGTAACCTCCAGAAACCTGGCGTATAATAGCCATACATCTAGTAGATTTTGTAGCAATGGCGTGACACTCCCAATGGTTTTCATCTCGAGAAGTAAAGTTTAATATGAGACGAAATGCGCCTTTAAAGTTGGAAGCCTGGATTATTTGCAACGATGGTACCCCATATATGGGTCAGCGTCTCGTCTACGTGTTAAAGAAGTCGGGAAATCTCTTCTAAGTATGGCTATCAACTGAATAGAATAAGAAGGTGTAAAACACAAGCTCTTTACGATAAAGCAAAGCTTTGGAACATAATGCACTGAAACCAATGCATAAGCTGCTCAAGTGTTAATCCACACACATACGGATATACATATAAACGCACATACACACGTACACACACACGTACGTACACACATATCCTACTGAATGCAGGAAATAGTCACCTTCTGACGCGATAAATTCCGACGTAACGGTGCCTTTTGCGGTTGGTATTGACCATATTCCAACAATATCGCGATGCTCTCCTCCATCTCGGTGAACAACCTGGGAACATCTCTTCAGCGAAGTGGAACGACAGAGAACAATTGCAAGCACTGCGCTTCTTCATGAGTACGCTAATGACTACCCTTTTCATGGTCGACAATGTGCTATACAGTAATACAAAACTAATTTGACATTGAAAAAGTAATGAAGGTATTTCCGGTTTTGCACGAATCTGTTGCGGAGTATGAAAAAGTGCGAGACGCGACGATAATTAATTCGGATGCTTTATGGGAAGAATATTTTGAAGCACTCATGTCAGTGTCTTCCAAATGATGGACATACACCAACATTCCTTCCCAATCTCTACCATGTCTAGAGAAAAAAAGGGTTGGTGAAAGTATCTGCAATAAGTTCCCAAGATCGACTTTCTATTAACCTCGGCATTGGATTATAAATCTGTTGTTCGCTTTTTTACAGCAATCGCGAGGTTGTTATTCAGCACACTTCCTCACAAATATAACACATACAACACAACGATAGCTGACGTTTCAGCAGTATCACCTTCTTCAGAGCCTGGAAGGGTACACTAATAATACGCAACTTATTAGGTTAAACGCTTCAACAACGCAAACAGAAAGATGAAAATCTGAACAATAATTACACGATCGCCGGCTTCTCGAAAAACCCACCGTTTTTTATCTGCCTTCCACCAATGAAGAGCAACCGCTTAGAGTCGCATATGGTTGATTCCTGCACCACCCCACACCAAGAATCAGTTCTGAGATACGGCGCTAGATCACGCGTTATCTCAGGGCATTCTTTCTTGCTATTCATTCTCGGATTTTAGGAAATTATCTAAAAAGCGCCGAGAAATTTGCGCGTTGGTGTTTTAGTCTCCTGTGCGATGATAGCGACTTTTACATCAAAATCTTCTCCACTGTTTTTGTACCTTATGCGTGCCTAGTGGCGTGTCTAATCTTGTTTTCGTTTGCCATCTAGGTGTTCTTTTATGCGGATATACAAAGGTCTACTCGTTTCGCCCATATATTCGCCTCGGTAAGTACTACAAAAAATCAGGTATATCATACCTGAATTCATGAAGTCACCATCTCTGCCGTAAGGGCAAATTACGCAATTTGTTGTTTCACACAGACGGTCATACAAGCACTTATCAACTAACTGAAAACGTAGAGTAGCCGGTGGTATTTCAATTATCGTTACCGATTCCTCTAGATCTGCTCTTCTTAAGCATCGCTTTATCGCTACACTTATTTCATCGCTAATGAAGGGAAAGATAAACGGGATTTTATTTCGGCCAAACCCTTCGTTTCGGGGCGTCGCTCTCCTTCTAAACTTACCTCGTGGGGTTACTATTTCCTAGCCATTGGAGATGGCTATTTGCCTAGTCAAGTCGCGCGATTCCTCTTCTAGTTCCCTGGTTGTAGACAGAGAGGTGGCTATTCGAAACACGGTTCTCACAAGCACCCTCTTTGTGTGTGAAGGGTGGGAAGAAAAGAAATGAACGAGGATGTTCTTGTTACTTGCTTTCGGCACCAATTTGTCATGTAACCGCTAGTTGATTATTTGAACGCTTAAAAACGGAAGCCAATTTTTTCTCGGTTTCTCTCGGGTGAACTTAATGTACTCAGACTGCTCGTTCAATAATTTGAAGTATTTGTCCATCTCCTCCTGCGTAGCGAAGATGACAAAACAATCATCTATGCACCCGTAGTAGAGTAGTGGCCGGAGACCGGGGGCTTCTACTTAAGACATAACGCAATGACAAGACATGGTGCCAGTCGCTGTCCCACTGCCAGCCCCCCTATTTGCGCGAAATATTTCCCAGACCATCTGAAAATCGAGCAATTTAGGCACTCGTTTAAGGCAGCCATCGTTCTTAAGCCTAAAGAGATGCATAAGAAGAGCAGAGGAATCGGTATCGATAGATAAAATACCACCGGCTACTCTACGTCTTCAGTTAGTTAATAAGTGCCTGTATGACCGTCTATGTGAAACACCAAATTGCGTAATTTGCCCTTACGGCACGGACGGTGACTGCATGAGTTCAGGTACGATATACCTGATCTCTTGTAGCACTTGCGGAGACGAATATATCGGCGAAACAAGCAGACCGTTGTGTATCTGCACAAAAGAACACCTAGATAGCAAATGAAAAGCGAGACAAGGCACGCCACTAAGGACGCATAGGATACAAAAACATAGCGGAGAAGATTTTGATGTAAAAGTCGCTATCATCACACGAGAGACTAAAACACCAACGCGAAAATTTCTCGAGGCTTTTTGGATAAATTCCAAAAACCCGAGAATGAATAGAACGGAAGAATGCCCTGAGATAACCCGTGATCTAGCCCCGTATCTCAAAACTGATTTTTGATGTGGGGTGGTGCAGTAATCAACCATATGCAACTCTAAGCGGCTGTTCTTCCTTGGTAGGAAATGGATAAAAAGGGTGGGTTTTTCGAGAAACCGGCGATCGTGTAATTATTGTTCAGATTTTCATCTTTCTGTTTGCGTTGTTGAAGTGTTTGACCTAGTAAACTGCATATTAGTGCACCCTTCTAGGCTCTGAAGAAGGTGATACTACCGAAACGTCAGCTACCATTGTGTTGTATTTGTTATATTTGTAAAGAAGTAAAGGTGTGTTGAATAAGAGCCTCGAGATTGCTGTGAAAAACAGAAGAACAGATTTACTTGCAAAAAGACCTTTAAAAACAAAAAAAGCAACTCTAACGAGTAGTGGATTCAAACTTCCACTTTCCTTGGTCTCTTTAAAGGCATGATTTCATTTACTGACTCAGTTCTCCTAAAGACTGGGAACTGTTAGTCAAACGACATAAACAGTAAATTGCTTGCCCTTCGAAGTGTACTCTGGCTTAGCGAGAACACTTTTTGTTTTTGTTTCCTCCAAGGACATCAGTGTGCGCAACCGGACAAATTACCTTCAAGAGAACTTCTTGTATAGGCGATTCCCTTTTACATTTACATAAATCCGCACTGCAGCTTCAAAAATAAACGAAAAAAAGCGGAAAAGAAAGAAAAATAAGGAAACAAAACTGCGATGTCGAACACGACAAGCGAAAGTGATTCTCACTTGTGATCCTCGTTCTCGATGACCGTAAGGTCTGAGTGAGTTCTGTTCGACCGATCAACATTCTGCGTCATTTCTGCCACTTCTCTGTCCGCGTCATCCGTTTCAGAAGATGATTCCGCTTGCTTAGAGACTGCCGACAGTTGCGCTGGTAGCTCCGAGCTGAAGCTAGTCAGAAAACTCAGAAAGCGACTCTTTTGAAAGAAGCTGAGCTGTTAGAAAGCACTGCCAGCAGACTTACCACATCGATTTGCGGTAAGCACTCAGAACTTTTATAAACAACGCTATATGCATGATAAGTGCTAATTAGCTTTAAAGAAATTTTTAGGTACCCTGAATTACCTTTAAAATAGATTTACAGAACTTGAACACTTAACTTAACTAAAGTTCATGCAAGGCATCCGGAACTGGTTCACAGATTTCAATGAAACCATTCTATCGGAACTACTCTTCGTTCCCATTACTATTTTTACAAGCTACTGTCTAACATATGATAAAAAAAAGTCACTATTTAGGAGAATGGGCTGTACTTAATTTCGGAGTTAACGCTCCAAGAACTCTTGCTAAATTGCAAATAACAATAAAAGCAGAGAACGTCCTTAGTATTAAAAGTCATAGAAAGTATAAGCATACTTTCGATGGAAACCATAAGCAGAATTCCGTGCGTTGCAGAGCTAAGAAAGTTCTCTTCAAGAAACGAAGTATGAAGGCAAAGAGAAGTTGAAAAGAATGCAACATGCAGAAGTGCTACTCTCAAGCAAATGCAATCCGATGTGCTATTGCAAAAAATCATGACTTTTCGTCCACTCATGACGCGATCGATGAAGTTTCTTATCCTACTTTACGAATAGCAATGATGTGCCAAGATCAGGTGAGCATCACAGAATAAGAGAAACGGCTAATCAACTACACCATGCTTACATGTCTATAAGCCCATCCTTTCAACATGTACATGATTTTTTGACGCGTGAAGTAACTTCGGAGACAAAGAAGATAAAAGAGATTTGTGCTCCCCAGATAGTCCTGTTGACGGGTCACTGCTGATAGCACCAATAGGTTAAAACACGACTGAGAGGAAGACGAAACGAAGGACCCACATAGGGCGGTGGTGAACACGTTAGCCCCGGAAAGGGTAATAATAGGTTCGATCCACACCGCAAATAGCTGCAAATATCTCAGCATCATTGTGGTTATATTTCACATCATACCCTGCCATAAAAGAGAACAGGCAGTAAGTAAAAAGTGACTCCACTGTGACAAAACCATGATCCATCAGATAGGTCACTTATATGAGCTGATAAGTTTTCTTCAACAACTTGATGTGCATACAATCTTTATCCCAGCGACAATGCAAGTGGTATCAAAACGATACAAAGTTTTTCAGAATTGTGAATCGCACTAAAACTTTTTGGAAATTGGTCGACCTGGGGCTTCCTTTCTTCGTTTCATTATCTCGCATCCTTGGTGTATGAAACGCTTTCAAATCTGCATTTGGATTTGCATTTTATTTGAGGATTTTGTCTTTATCATGAATGCCGTTGGATGTTGAGTGATTATCGAATGTTGACTGAAGCGGATTCGTTTTGGACACCGCACATAAAGCGTTACCAAGGCTTCATTACATGCTGCTAGTGGACTTCTGAAATTGGAATAAGCTTATTTCACAGTACTCCTGCATCACTTTTCCGATGTGGTAAAATCGTGAGGGGCTGGTTGAACTGGTGCAAGGTCGAACCTCACACCATGCGTGTATTTTACGACACCTCTAACTACTGCATTTCTTGAAGTTCACAAGGCGAATAAATTGAAAAAAACTCAGTCCATAAAAATTTAAAGCAAACAAATCGAAATTGACAGTTTTCTGGTTATAGAGATCACTATACTTGAAACTGTGGAGTACAATAAACATATGAAGCAGTTACTGCGCAGGAAGACCAGCACGATCAGTATTCGTTCCGCTCGAGGAAGGAATCGATAATCTGATAGAATAAAGCTCTACAGGGCTAAGATACAGAAAACAAGCAGAGTAAACGAAATTCCTGGGTCAGCACAGCATGTGAAAATAGATCATATAAAAATTCTCATATTAACAATGCTCACGAATACTATCAAAAGGGGCGCGTGTTAGCGCAGCAGCCGTAGGCGCCCTTCCAGCTTCCGGATGGAATCGATCCCCGCGTTCATGCCCCATCAATCCTTCCATCTCTCTGGGGTCGTCAAATTGGGATCATACTTGTCTGGGAGAATAACAGTACTGGCTCGATACATTGGTAGGCCACCATGAGTCATTGTAAAGGCCAGATATGCATTCAATCACCTCCAAACGATGCTTAATGAAATCGAATGCATAGCGCATCCCTCAGGGAATGATCAACGATGACAGCTTTATCCTCCATTAATCCTTTTATTAATATCAAAACATCCTAGCTATTAAATAACTTGTATAAGCTGTTAGCTCCTAACTATCGAGTTATTCGAGCGTGTTTCAGGAATGCATGTCGTGTATCACAAGCACTCTGTCAGTCCACGTTTGTTTGACACAGAAGCCATCACATTTTTCGTGCAACACTCTTCACTTTTCTTGCCAGATAGTAAAGCGGTAACAGGTATTTCACCCAGCTCTACTATGATATATACTTACTCTTAGGTGGGTTATAGATGGAACTGTCAAGGTTCTGAGTTACCAAGATGGGAATCTCCCTGTAAACATCGCAATATCCACAAACGCCTCAAACCACGATAAGACTAGAGGGACTCACTTGATAATGAAAACTTTGCCAATAATAATAATTAATAATTAGCAATAACAGCTGCTTTATATCTGATATAGAAATCTGTTACTATTTACTACTTGCTGTTGTCATATTGTTGTTTTGAGCTCTTACCACCAAAAGGTCACATCTGGATTTACATCACATGGAAGCGTTAGTACACAAGTAATGGTTAAATTTCTAGAACACGGAATATTCTACACTTATGAATCGATTAAAACGATTAAAATACGATTAAAACCGAGACACTAGTGGGATCCTGAAAAGTCGGTTTTCTTTCGAAATTTTCTCGTACAGAAATTTCTAGTTTTTTCATCGTTCGTTCTTAAGTTCTATCTAAGCAAGAGATTTCCTCTTCGCTGTGCTAAGTAAGGTGTACTTGCATTTTCATTTGTGAAACAAAAAACTGCGTCATATATATACATACATATATATATTTAGATGCATATGTGTACATACATATGTATATACATGTATATAAATACAAATATAAGTAAAAATATATACCACAGATATAAATATATATATAATTACTGAATTACTAAAATCATTGTACTGACGGAAATGATTAAACTATCAATAAAGCACAAAGCATAAAGCATTCAGCTCTGATCAGTCCGTACGGGATGCGCAATGCATTCCATTCCACTCGCAGCATGTGATTGAAAGAGGTGATTGAAAGCAAACATGTCTATACAATGACTTGAAATGACCTTCTAACGTATTAAGTCATTATTTTTATTTCCACTGGTTTTATGTTTTTCTCCTAGATACGTTTGGAGTCAATCTACAGACTCCGAAGGCATGGATGGACGACATGGTTTGCGTGGGTGCATGTACGAACTAATCCCCTGTGAGCTTCTCAGTGCCACTGCGCTACACGCACTGTAATGTATAACAGAAAAGAATGATATTTACTAAGAAAAACGGAAAATTAAGAAGTTATTTAATGAAGTAGTGTTCCATGTAAAACAAAGAGCAAAGTTTAAGGTTTTGAAAAACAAAGCTCATTTGATCTACACCGCTATGAAGAGAAGAGAATCTTACACTCTGAACCATCGATCAGTCGACATACATGGAAAAAGAATAAAATCCGATATCACCCAGAATTTTTGAGAGAAAACAACCAAAAAGGATTTCTCTTAGAAAATGCCTAGTAGACCAAAATGAGAAAAAATTTTATGGTCCCAGACTGGATTTATGTGACATTTGAGCGATTACAGCTTAGCATAACAAGTGGTGTCCTTTTGGGTGTCCGTAATGCACTTCCAGTTAGTTGAAACATTCTGATTTCATAGCAGATCACAAATCAGTGAAAGTAAGACCAATGCGTCGAAGCCAATTTACTGTGGTAAATAACCTATATTCCAACGCAAAACGGGGGTCTCGATTTCAGGCTGAACGAATAGAGTCGACGATGCTGTAAATAAATACGACACGACTATTTTATAGATAGTGGACGGGAGAGGGGCATAAAATGCCGCTTAGGACGGCAGCGATCGCAGACGCATAAGTGAAACGCGGTATTGTAATGTAGTATTGGGGTGAAGAGAGGAGTGCGCCACCTGGTCAGCCATAAACTCCTATGTCCCGTCCAGTCACCGGCCAACCCTGATCACAGTCGAATGATAAAGGTTTGGCGACGTTTAGTCTAGGCGAAATACCTGATTAAAAAACAACACCAACAACTGACCATCGAGCCCACATTTGCAGCTGAAATAACAGTTGTAAGAATCTTTGTGTGGACAAACAATGAATAAAATTGCGGATAAACTTTGAGAAACTTACGCTAAATATAGAGAGCACGAAATTTCATAAAAAGCATTTCTTCTTTCTCTGCCTGGCTGAATCTTTAGAAGTAGTTCTCGCCGATGTAATCAATGAAGAGAAGAATTTGAGTTAAAGCGTACGCGAATACTTTTTCTCACACAAAATATATGAGCTATCCATGAGGCGTGTGTAGCGCAGTACTTCGAAGCGCTCAGCAACACATAGAGGCGTCGTCGCTAGTTCGATTCTAGGGTCACGTATTCTTCCATCTCTTCCGTGTCAGAAAATTGGTGCCGAATTGGAATACAGGGATAAGAACATTGACTTACTTGATGTATCATAAGACACCAGTAAGTGATTGAGTTGGCTAGACATGCATATAATTTTACCACCTCTACCATTCCTTGTGTTTCGTCAAAAACAATTAGAAAGGAAATTCAAGCGGTAACAAGCGGTCAAACGGACCTTAGATTAACAGTCACTGTCATGATTGATTGGCCCTTATATATTTACTACGTATAACTTTTATCTACTGCCCATTATTTATTATCACTTTATTATTCATTATTATTGGAGTTATTTTTACTATGCTAATTTAAAGATTAAGCTCAAGACAGGTTTAGTTTGTAGTAAATTTCTTCCTGGTTTCGCCAAACAGAGAGTACTTGTGGGTGTGAACTCGTAGTGAGCTGCTGTGCCCTAACACTTACAGTAATATTCTGTAAAAAGTTCAAAAACAATTTGTTTCATAACAATCCCCTTGACGAGGAGCTACTATGGAAACAGGGTTCCGTTTGAAAGAACACCATTGGCGGATGTGTATTCCTGAAGCTGATTCTCAGAATTAAAGCGCGTGTAACATCGACTATGATCTTCAATAGTCAACATAGGTAAGAACCCAACTCCGTTCTCTCAGTTTTGACAGTCAGTGTGTTCGAAAAAATATTTTTGAGCTGTTTGGTTTGTCTTTTAGAAGACAAAAGTGATTCTGATTTAGGCACTGCCTCAATAGTAAGCCGTCAAACATCCCAACGACGAAGACTAAACCTAGTAGTAACTTAAACGGATCAAAGTTAACAGTTAGAGTCCGAAACTTAACTTTCTGTGGCTACCGTACACAACGGATTCTAAATTTTCGTTGCGCGTCCTGTGAATTGATGCCAACTCAAGCAGTCACGTCTACCACCGTAATCCCAAATGTTCGAAGAAAAGTTGATTTCTACAGTGATTTTTAATTCACGTGGCAAATCACATCGGATGTGGTACCTGAATAGTAGGACAAGGCAAAGCGATGAGAGAGAAAGAGAGAGGGACGAATACTCGATTGCCGATATACCTAGTAACTGGCCAAAAATATTGTTATGAGTCATCTATTAAAGAGTTTCTTTAATAAAACCCTATGATAGAATAGGTCCTAAAATAATTTTTTAGAAAAAATGGAATACGCGTTTAAGAGTTTTGAACTGCGATGTTTAAAATTTCCATCAAAACAAACTATTACTCTCGGATCACTTGCAATGTTTTGTTCGGAATAAATATAGGACTCAACGGTCTAATAGTTCATATAACACTCACCGAGGTGTGCCAAGTGGTGTCGCCAGGTCACGTAGCCCAACCTCCGCTGGCTCATTAATCCAGTCGAACGACGACGAGCGAGAAATCGAGAACGGGGACGTTTGTGTGGTTGCGTCCTTTAATCAGCCATAGTAATAACTGGCTACATACCTAGATTTTTATTTCATATCCTATAATTTTTAAAGAGGCTTTACGTATTACTAGAAATCACAGTAGGGTAATTAACAGTGTACCTTTTATCCCTTTCTACCAAAGATAAGATTCAAAAATAGCAAGTTCTCTATGGGTTTCTAACACTCTTCGAAGCTAATTTCTTTTCCAAAAATAAGAATCATTGACGCTCGGCGAAAAGGAGAATACACAACGTATCCAGTGTGTCCTCTCTAATGAGGAGCCACGAAAGCGAGGATCCAACGCAACACTATGAGATAACGCTAAAGGACTTCCAGACCCGCGCTGAACAAAATAATCCTATGAAATGCTGAGATATTTGCAAAACTCCGGACCGCAGGTGTATGTAGTGGTGAACGAACACACGCTGTTGTCCTTATCGGAGAGCAGCGCACTTCACCACCACACCATCCGGGTTCTTCGTCTTGCCTGTCTCTCAGATAGTTCTATCGATCTCTTTGCCATCAGCAATCACCCGCCAACGGGATTGATCTGGGGAGCCCAAATCGGCATTGAACCCAGTTAAGCTGAGGCTTAGTTATAATCACAATCTTAACCCTTTTATTTACTGCCTTTGTATGCAGTGGGCATACACCTCCGGTCCGGAGTTTTGCAAATATCTCAGCATTTCATACGAGTTATATTTCGCAACATACCCTGCCATTAAGAAGAAAAAGGTAGTAAATAAAAGGGTTAAGAAAGCAATCCAAATCTGAAAACAAGCTCGGCACCCTTTCAAACCATACTTAAAACCATCTGAAAAGTAAAAGATACTGCGACAAGATTCTTTTGCTACACACAGAGAACGAACGGTCATTAATGCCATGTGCGGAGAGATTTTCTTCGATACCGGCAGACAAGAAGCATAAATAAGGAGAAGCCATAGTGAAACGTCGTCGAGATCTTCGCGAGTACAATTCTCTGCACTCTGCTCTGTTCGATGACTACGGCTGATCTAAAATTTCTCTCTGTGAAGTGGAATCGATAATAGAGAGATTCTATAGAAATCTACAACGATCCACAACATCCAGTGCCAAATCTTATCATTCCCACTGGGATAAAACCAAAGAGTATTTGTTCCAGGAGCTTGAGTTGTAATTGCAAACTTGAAACCCAACACGATTCTTGAATTATACGATATTTCGGCCGATCTTATACGAGCTAACATAATCACCACGCTCTATTTGCAAGAAATATGAAATGCAAATAAAAAAAACGATAATCAGTGGAAGACATGGCATATCACCCTTTTGTACAAGTAGGGCAACAAGGTTGACTTTCGTAACTTCTACCAGTTCATTTTGCTTCATAAACTATACACGAACGTCATCCTGACGAGTGCCTCGAAGAACTTGAATGAAGCGGGATAAAGCTCAATACATATAAAGGATAAAGCTGTCGGCGTTGATCAAACCTTGAGAGATGTGCCATGCATTCGACTTCATCAAACACTTGTAGTGACTGAATGCATATCTGTCTTTTAGAATGACTCACGAAGGCCTGCCGATGTATCGGGCCAGCGATGCTACCCATCCAGACAGGTTTGGTACCAAATTGTCCAACCCGTAGGGATGGAAGGCTTGGTGGGCATGGGGCACGCGATCAAACCTCTGTGTGTCGTAGAAGCTTACCCTACATAGATCAACTTAAACATCACCAACGATTGCGCACACAATCGTTCTCGACAATGATAGGGGTCCGTAAAGAATGCCATCTCTCCTCGATTGACATTTTTTTAACTACTACAAAACGTACGATAGTGAGGACAGAAAAAGCAATCTGTCCGTCTTAATCGACCACGGTGTAGCCAAATAAAAAAAACTGCTTGTCGACTGAAGTAGCCATTGAGCTAAAATGTTAAAACTATTTCACATGCACTCATTCAGAGAAAAACCAAGTGGAAAATAACGACCAGTATGAGTGGAAATCAATCAGCCTACCGATCCCGACCTACGTTCTCACCTTCTTGACGAAACAGTTCCTTCACCTCTATGGCATGTGGCAGAAGCACGCCATGATACTTCGGTTATATCGAATAAGCCGGTTACAATAGATAGGAAACTCAAGCGTTGCTTTCTTAAAATAAATCAACGTGCTTAATATCTAGCCGGTGTTCGTAGTTTATATCTTCGAAGAACATCTCCTCTTCGATTCACGGTGGAATACAAAATGAGAATAAAAGACAACAGGTGGACCGGAAGAACATTAAAGTGGATTCTAAGAAAGTCATAATAACCACAACGAATACTTCGAAAATGGTGCGCCAATACTTTCGTTGTACACGTAAGTAGAGTGCATTCACAGATGAAATTCACCTTTAGACCTTCAAGCTACAGTAGAGACCATAGGTCTTCATGAATGACGGTTCAGACAACGAAACGAATGGTACAAGTGTTGGGATGGGTACGATACGTGAAGATGGATCGTTTTCGTATCTAAGTAGACATCGTCATCGTGAACGGACTAGGAGATACAAAAGTACGACATATTCGAAGTAGGAAAATATATTAGGTGAGATCCGCATTGAAAATAGTATTAGGCATGGAAATGTTTCAAAACTCAATAGATCCGCACTGAAAGTAGTATTAGGCATGGAGATGTTTCAAAACTCAATCTGTTGTTTCGACTGTATAGTTGAAAACGATTAGTAGATGTAGTAACCACCAATGAACAACTAAGATCATGAAGAAGCTACCTAAGTTTCCTCATTGTTTATTGCCCAACCGTACGTGTTACTCGCAGGAAAACTTCAACAAATGAATACCTGTCCTCCGGAACCGTTGAGTCTCACATGAGCAGGTGTGTCGGGCACAGTGTAGCGATTAGCTTCGATGCTTCGAATCAACGATGCCACGACGCCATTTACCGACCTAGGCTCACTGGTGGACGGCGGCGCTTCCTGATGTTCTCGTAGGCGACATTGCACCTAAAAATTTACTGATAATTGAAAAAAATGTAGTAAACAAGTGGTATCTCTTATTCGCTTTCTTAAGCACTTCCATATGAATACTGTCAAGAAACCGTGTTCTTCATAAACATACACATCTGCTGCTGGATAGCATATTCCGTGATAGCATCGATCAAAGCGGAGCTAGGGAAGACATTACTAAAGAATTCAGCACGCAGACAGATAATTCTAGTACACACTCCACCTAAAGTTATGCGTGAAACATGATCGTTCAACTTGTAGTCAACGGCGTTCATGTCGTACACATCGAACAAAGAAGGGCAACAATCGGTTTGGGAAAAACGAAATCGAACGTAATTGAACTGTCAAAGCCGGTCGATTACCAATGGTAAACTTGAATTATATAAAGAAACATCTAATGAACGACCACAGTAGAGACATTCAACATCAGTGGAAGCGCACTGTTAGAAACAGGAGCGTCGTCACAGTTACCTAACTAGAAAACATTTATGTTTTAGAAAGAATTTCAAAAATTCCATCAAAGTAGGAATAAGGAAAGAGGCGCACTAGGTGAAACAGCCCCTGCTTTCGTAAGGCTGATAAAGGATTTTTAGTGTTCCCAAGATTTTATTTCGGCAGCTAACAAAGACAGTCCTCGTCCTCAAATTCAGTAGTTTTACTCTTAGAACAACACTTAGATGCCAGAAGAACTAATAAGACAGAAGATACGATGGAACACATGCGGGTTTTTGATAAGTGCGCTCCAGACGAAAGCGAAACACAGTGCTTCGGTGTCTATTGAAGGAGCTAGTTTTGCAAAGAGATGATAATATGATGGGATGAACCACATCAACAATACTGCCAGAGAAAGTGAAAGAATGATGAAAAACCACTTTGAACCAGTCTTGCAGTAATGATTTGTGGTTCCCCACTACGATTCAACCACTAAATGTTTGAACATTTTCATCACGATAAAAGGAGTTAGATGAAAGATGTAGAGAAAACGAATAAAGAATACCAGAAACGACTGACTATCGTTTCGGTGGTTTTAAAAGACGATGTTTGCATTCGCTTGGAGTCCACTCCACTGTTATTTCCGTCCATCTGTCATCAGTTCTTGTAATTATGTGAACGGTTCATCTGTGTTTCGCTATTGATCTATATTCTATTTGATCCTGAAGATGAGATAAGTTTCGAAGATCTGTACTGCACATTCCGGTAAGACGTTGGGAGTGTTGGTTAAATTTCAGAAGACATCGTCCTAGCACTCTGTGGGTGGTGCATAGACTTGACGTGGTTAAAGTGTCAGCCTACGTTTCCGACGCATTACAAGGCGCTGGAAGGACTGCTGAATAAAAATGGTGAGCACGGAGTTTTGGGTCCGTTACAAGAATTGTAAAAATAAATACAAGTGATATTGATTTAAAGCACGCTAGTAAAGTTCAGTTTCTACTATAAGAAATGAACAACGACTAGGACGGTTTCCTTAAGGAAGTAATGGGTGAGACCAAGCAAAAAGTAATATAGTGGACTCATAACAACTGAAGCTCTGACTCTGAAGAAGGCGATGAAGGATCCTGCCGAAACGTCAGCTACGGTTGCGTTGTATGTGTGTTATTGTATGGAAGTAAACGTATGCTGTTTAACAACCTCGTGATTATCCTTTCCGGGGAGTAACGCGTTCACCACCACACCA